AACGCGTCTTCTTGAACTTTCCTAAATATTCATTGGCTGTGGCTCAAATCCAAACAAATGCTGCAAAGCAACTCCACAAATTTCGCAATACATCTCCCTTTTCACGAGACGCAAAGCGGATTCCAAGAACAAACACATGCTACTCGCATGCCTCCCCATCAGTAGTATCACCGTTACAGTAGTATACCCCGTGTACGTACGTTCGCATAGCTACTCCGATTCAGGTATATGTTTAATGTCCTTCTGACTAGGTTGAAAGCCTGAATTACCCAAGAAGAAGAGTCTTCAGCAACCTTGTGAGTAGTTTCCATTTTCTCGCTGTTTGTTCTTGTCTTCGTTCGATGTGGCAGCATCCACCACTCTTATCATTACGACTTTGATCGTTACTGCAGTTTAGTGTGCCACTTACTTGGTCGCCTCCTCTGTAAAGCTACCTGTTCAAAACAAACGAAGTCGCCTTTTAGCAATGGTTGTATCAACCGAATACAAGCAATTAACGTCCTTTCCTGAAGACAGACAAATACTCTACAGATCTATCAAACTGAATGTAAAGGGAATACATCTAAACGAACGAAATTTGGAGCCGACTGGATGTTCACTGTTTCAGACAAGTATGCTAAGCCATAAATGGGTTTATTGCATGAAAGCTTCGCTAGATCAAGTGAATACGTTACTACTTTGGTGGAGTTTAAAGACCGGCGGAGATTCCTTGTAAATAGCAGACTTCATGCGTGCTGATTGCTTATCACAAGTTCTTGTTCGTTGGTTCGTGTAGATGAGTAACAGTTGGAACAGATGGATTGGGAGGGAATCAGAGCCTTGTTCACCGGTCTACAGCCCTCTTGAGTGTCAGCCAGCTGTAAGAAATCTTCATGACTACTTTCCCGTCTGTCTTTGGACTTGGTCAACCTGGTAACTTATTTGCTAGGCCTGATGAAATTTTCGTGTTCATAGCAAAACGTTGTCGAGCAATCAACCCACCGAGTTTTTTTTCCTACTAAGCACCTCTTGAACACAGACTGTGTCTACTTTCTGAAAAATTTGGACATCAAATTTTGAGGACACAGCTCGACAGGTGCGATCGAATTTTCAACGTAGATTGGCTTCACCTACAGAAAATTAACTTTGCTTGCTGACTCAACACTCGGTTTCTCACAGCGAACGCTGTTTTTCCCAGAATCTTCTCTGGAAGAATTACTTTTCAGTGGCAAGGTGAATCCCTCCGTTACATATTCGATAAAGTTGTATTCATACTTCCAAATGATAGACGTGACTTGTTCTAACCGTTTGTAATCTGATTGAGTAAGTTATATCATGAAAGTAGTAATTCCTCCATAAAGAGGCCCACATCAAGCTTGACTCACTGTGAATACCCACTCCCTTTCCACTGATGTCCCCTCTTCGGAGGATTACTAAACTCAGGTCGCATGCCATCTTGGAGTATCCAAGTGGGGACCTGAAAATCAACCCAGTATGATCGAGTCTGTAAAAGATCGATTAGACAAGATTCTTTCTTCTCCCACTGGGATCATTAGATAGGCACAAGTGTTGCTCAATCTATAATTTCATCGGTCTGCGATTTCTTTGCACAGTCGATGGTTCGGAATAATCTTGATCAAATGACATCATATCGAGGTACTCCATCATTATTGTTCAGTGCTGCAAGTCGGAAAACCGAAGTTTGGCAAGCGTCATTTCTAAGAATGCGCTTTCATGAGCGTCACTCTTGCAAGGCACTTGTGTTCAAGGTCAAGTTGGCGTGCCTACAGCATGTAAATATGATTGGCAGTCCCTTACTCCAGGCGTCTATTCGCTCGCATGATTTAGTGAACCATGCTGCTCCGGGATTGGTCGAAACATTATGCGTGGGCGGGCATGATTTCACTGTGCACAGTACGTTGGCAATGCTCGTTTGATAGATGAGCGCAGTGCACACTTACTCGGGGACTGAAGCCATACATGGTTCGATGATTGATCCCAGACGGAAAGTGGCACTTCATGTGGAGTCGACCAATCCTTTCGCCTCACACAGGTCTAGCAGATGTAGGACGAAGTCGACTGTCACGAGCTGCTCCGCCGGCCCAAGCTCGATACATACGTGATCCACACGGGGAAACCAAATATTTTGCGCGCGTGGATATACAAGATGTACCACGGGAGAGTTTGGAAGTCTATACACAACAGAATCTGGTTATATTGTACGCCAAATTGGAAAACCGTGTCACTGCCGGTGGCAGACGAACACATGAGTGGCGCAGAGAGCTGCGACTTCCACCCAATGTGAATTTCTCTACACTTAGATGTACATTTGTAGAACCTGGTTTTGTGCATATTGAAGCTGACGTTCTGGAGGAAACAGCCCACCTCGCTCCTATCTCAAACTGGTCGCGTCCCAAATCTCCGGATGTTCATAACTTTCCCGCCAACGATTGGAGTCGTACCCATACGCCTAATTTGGGAAGCACACCGATACCATGCAGACCGGAGTGTAAAATTGACCATCGTCGTGTGACCTTTGCCGAGCCTCAACGATGTAGAATCTCAACAACCCCTTCTGCCAGCCGCTCATCCTGGAAACGTGTCCCAATCACAGAGTGGTCTTATGGACACTCATCCCCGATTTCGTTTAACTCACCCCGAACTGTGAGAACGTTTCTATCCCCACAGCTTCACGCAGCACCGCTAGTCGCTCAAACACCGCCCACATCGACAAGATCCCGCGATCCAACCTCACCAACACGCGTGCGCAATCCGTTGGGTCAAGGGGATGGTACAACCGCTCCCACCGGGCAAGCGTTCAAACGGTATAAATTACGTGTTGAACTTGGCTATTCCGTCAGTCCACGAGACCTAACCATCAACAGTCATAACGGTCTATTGACTATACATGCAAAAAAGCTTGTCAAGCCTAACGCGTGGAAGCCCAGTGAAGATATGGTGTTCGAGCACTATAGTGAACACACCCTTCCGTGTGATATCATCCTCACAGACTTGACTGCGAGGCTTCAGGATGGCGTGGTTTATGTGGAAGCACCGTACAAACCTGTTACAGCAAACATCTCCCTGCCTCGGTTAGACGCACTCCATCGGCAATCGATGATTATGAATAACTGGCACGGAATCTGAGAGGAATAATGCGCCCACAAGGATCCCCACTGCTACGGGTATGCCACCCCGCACTTTTTCTGTCTGCGTTTTCTGATTCCTGGCCCAGCCATTTTCGGATGCGATGGTTCCGGAAATTTCGAAACTGTTCGTAGCCAATCCCCTGTCTCTCCAACCCTCCTACGATTATCCACACTATTGTTGTATATAGTTGTTTCTATGTCGAGTGCTTTGATAAAGTAATTGTATTGGAAAGTACCGAGAAGCAAAATGAGTAATCTCTGGTTTCAAGAAATTTCAGGGGTTGTGACCGAAAGAGTTCATGCTTAGATTCCTGCAACCTGTATACCCGAGTAATCCTCAAGGAAAGGACAGTACGTTCCGTGGCCCACTTACCTTCTCCACCGTAAATTTGTTCGTCTTTCTCCAACTGAAAGGATTTTCGGTGTGTAAGTTTTTGATGAATAAGATAGATTGACTAGATAGAGAACTCAGGATTAGAGTCAATAAATTTCGAACGAACCAACGTAGAACCGAAAACTATTCAAAAAAAGGCACAAGAAGTATCCAGAAACACAGCTAGGTACTTTTTCATAAAGGAAACTACTCACAAGGTTGCTGAAAACTCGTAGACAGCCCACGACCGGTTTCACCCTTCTGCTTTGGGCTCATCAGGTAGGCGCAGTCCCCGAGTTTCCGTCAACCTTATGATCTACTTGAACCCAAATCGGACTTTTTTCGAGAAATACACTCATTTGCAAATCAATTTGGTTTTCACGAGTGACTCAGCTGAATCGTGGGCTGTCGAAGAATTTTCAGCAACCTTGTGAGTAGTTTCCTTTATGAAAATATACTGCGATATTTCGAATATCTTGCCAACTGAAACATGAAGCGGCCTGTGTGCAGCACATTCGGTTGTAGAATACCATAAACGAGAGATTCAGTTGAGTATCTCGTGAAAACCAGATTGATTTGCAAATGTGTGTACTTTTCGAAGACAGCAAGATACTGTTCGACTGATCGAGTAGTCATCAAAGATGATTCCCCGTAATTTCATCTCTTGTTTAATGTTAGAAAAACATGTCAGCTGATGAATTGTCACCCCTCAACTACACTCATTTTCACACGAATCTGGTTTGGACGGAAGACGCAACCGACTCCCAATCGACTCCCTCGTTTATGGTATTCTGCAACTAAATGTGGTGCCCAAAGTTCACTAAATTTTTCGGTTGGCACCATACTCATGATGTAACAGTGAATGAAACTACTCACAGGGTTGCTGAAAACTATGTGGTCGTCCACCACCAGTCCATCAACCTTATGTTTTACTTGAACTCAAATTGTATAAAACTCACCGTACGGCCTCATTTTGCATACCCATTCCATTCAAGTAGGTTCAAGTAGAGCAAAAGGCTGACGGGACCTCGAGAATTTAGCCAACCTGATGGATGGAAGCGGTCGTGGGCAATCGAAGGGTTTTCAAAACCTTACGAGTAGCTCCCTTCAATGAACTTCTGTTTTTGTGACAGTGGCTTACAAACCCTAGTTTACAAAGTACTGGTTTCCGTCACAACATGTGGAGTTATTGGACTGGCCTGATTTGTCAGGAAAACTTGGGACCCAATAGCACACGAACCGTACAAAGGTGCAAAGTCTGTGACACAGCGAACCGAATCAGTAACTGATGTACAACCAGAAAACAGAATTATCGTTCCAAATATTGCGATAACATAGCGTAAAACAACAGCAGAGTTTTGTAGAGGTTTCGACGCAAGCCTACACGAATCGATCGCTGAAATCCCATACCGGTAGAGCAGTACTTGGTCCTATTCAGTTGTGGTGCCGTTTTCGAACTCCCATTGGTTTTGTGTCCGCCAGTTCGAGGCACATCGTTGTTGGTTTCAACAGTACTCATCACAGTTGACTAAGAATAGCCCCACTTCAAGTGAGCTCGATAAAGTGGCGTTTGGAACATGGATGGTCTTTCGTCACGGTGTTTCGTTCACGAAAATTGTTTCTGAAAATAAACCGGTTCGAAAGATTACATCAACGATCAAACCTTCCCAAAATTTATGGTAAGTCAACTTGTGGCATCTATATGAAGTTTTACTGATGTAAAACTCGTAAAACGTAAGACCAAGTCCTAAAAGACGATAATCGAGAATGCATGAGCCGCGGTTCATGAATCTGTGAAAGACACCGTTGACCACTGAAATCCGGGAGTTCGGATATCAGAATAGTACAAGTTAGGGATCTCTATGGCCATTCATTCAGTATAGTTGCGGTATAGTTTGCAAGGATGATTGGAGTTTCCATATTCTAAAGAGCTCATGTGATCAAAGGCCATGCACAAACTATACTCTGGGAGGGAACTACACACACGGTTGCTGAAAACTCTTCAACAGCCCACGACCGCTTTCGCCCTTCTGTTTGGGGCTCATCAGGTAGGCGCAGTCCCCTAGTTTCCGTCAACCTTTTATTCTGCTCTGGGAGTTTGTGTCCCCGGAAATCTCTTTTGAAAATTTTCACTCTTATACGCGCAGCTATCTAGATTATCTTCTTTGCATTTGATTTGATTTTTACAAGTAGACAACATCTGGAATTTACAGTCATTCTGAAAAGATGTTATCAGGCATGTTAACTAATTAGCAACTTTCTAAATGAACTGTCTACTGAGTGCTTGCTGTCTGTCACAGACTTGAAAGGTCACTGGATGCTCATGTCTCAAACATTTTTACAGCAAACGACCTAAGTAACCGCTGGTACTATAAATCAGGATGTGATCAGCTCTAAAATGCGATCCACCACATTGCTGTTTGGATATAACACACTGCTCATAAGATTGCTAAAAGCTCTTCGACAACCAATGACCGGTTTCATCCTTCTTGAATTTCACCATCATCATCATCATCATCATCATCATCATCATCATCATCATCATCATCATCATCATCGTCATCATCATCATCATCATCATCATCACCATCATCGTCATCATCATCATCCTCCTCATCATCATCATTATCATCGCCATCATCATCATCATCATCGCTGAGTTCAGTCAAGTTCATGTTCCACTCGACAGATTCTGACAAGTTTCAATAGGAGACTCAACTGAACCCAGCTGAATCCTTCGTTTATGATAGTCCTGTCGTGGACTGTTGATGAGTTTTCAACAAAACTGGGAATAGTGTGATACGGCTAGTCAACAACATAGTGTGAATTCTCGTACCAAATGAAACATGGGCCTGTCTGGTACAGCGCACTCGGTTTAAGTAGACCATCATAAGCGAGAGATTCAGTTGACTGTCGTATTGAAAATCGGAGCATTTATCGATCCACCACCAACGATCGTCCTTGCCAAAGTTCACCAACTGGTTATCCTAGGATCGGTATTGTATCCCGTCGGTCAACACATCCCAGCGTTCACCGCATCGCAACGCGGCCACCAATCACACTTGCGTGTATGCTGGGTACGAACCAAATCTAAGCTCTCAACTAGTCAAGCAGCCAGACCAATATTGACATTTAGGCTATACTAAGTGTGGTGATTGGTCACGTGATGCCGGACCAATCAGATTCTGCGGTCTTTCAACTTCAGATTTCTTAGCCATAAAAATTACCATAGCCTCTGCAAGAAGGCAGAAAAAAATAGAGTAACTTTTCATGTTGAAACTGTCTGCTAATTTTTCTTGAAATATCCTCACTCAAAACCCCAGGTGACCAGAAAAGACCTCGGAGAGGATTTTTAATGGCACTTCAGTGGAAATGTTGATATGTTCTTATAATAAAAGGTTTTAGAGATTGACGATGAGAAAATATTTATTGGAGTCACGTGAACATATATGCCTGCTTAAAGATGATGTCAATGTGAATGGTTTCCCCTTTCTTCTACAAATTTATTCAAGTTCAATTATATCCCATGGCTTAAATCACCTTTATTGATCTGTCAATCAATGATCCTTGACCAGCCTTATTTTTAACCAACGAGTGGCCACTAGCGGGCCAATAAACCACTATATGCTCAGGAACGTGTACTCAGTCGCGACTTTCCACCTTTGCGGATCCCTTGAAATCATACCAAGCAATTCTAGGCTTAGTTTGAAGATCGGGGTGAGGTGGCTCAGTGGTTAGAACACAAATTTACTGACCGGAAGGTCTAGGGTCCGAACCCGGCCTCTGCATCTCGAATTCCCTTGTCTAGGCTTGGGCAACCTGGCAGTATCTTAGCCCTCAAGTTTCCTTCAGGTGGAACGACAGCTGGGCACCAGAAGGGTGTTACAGTTGAACGCTTTTTAGTTAAACGATTTTCAGTGAGTGGTTTCAACGTGCCCTGTAACCAGTTTTAAAGTGTCCCAGCTGCCCTTTTGTAGTCTCTGTGGGCGGAAAATCCTTCACATGTGCGTAAATCAGTGCGAACCTCTGCAGGATCCCAGCCTCTCGCCTTTCTTGGGGCTCATCAGGTAGGCGCGGTCCCTGAGTCGTGGGCTGTCGAAGAGTTTTCAGCAAACTTGTGAGCAGTTTCCTTTGTGAAAAAATACTGCGATATCTCGAATATCGTGTCAACTGAACTATGAGGCGGCCCGTGTGCAGCACATTCAGTTGAAGAATATCATAAACGAGAGATCCAGTTGAGTATCTCGTGAAAAACAAATTGATTTGCAAATGAGTGTATTTCTGGAAAACAGTCCAATTTGGGTTCAAGTAGAACGTAAGGTTGACGGAAACACGGGGACCACGCCTATCTGATGAGCCCGAAACAGAAGGGCGAAACCGGTCGTGGGCTGTCGACGAGTTTTCAGCAACCTCGTGAGTAGTCTCATTTATGAAGATAAATAGATTTTGTGGAGCGTCGGTGATCGGCTGATTGGGAAACGAATATTGGCAAGGCAATCCGATGTGAACGATGGCGGATAATCTCACTAGTGTTTCGCAAGCTTGCGAGACGGCACAGTAGTTATAGCGTGAATCAGCTGACCGGCAGGTTTGTGGTTCGAACCCGACCTCTGCCTCTCGACTTC